AAATATTTTTGATCCATGGTTGGTTGAGTCTGTCAGTGTGGAACCCATGGATACAGAGAGCCGACTATATGTACCTAACAATGTAGATCCAAAATACATGAACAAAAAACCAAAAGAAATGGAGGGAGAAATAGAGAATTCAATAATCATATCCCATTCTCAATAATGTAAAAAGATTCAGCCAGGAAATAGAAGACTTGAACAATATTACAAACCACCTAGATATAACAGACATCTATAGAAATCTTTAAAGACCAACTGCAGAATACATATTTTTCTTAAGTGCACATGGAACATTCTCTAGGGCAGACCATATGCCAGACCATTAAAAAAACTCAATAACAAAAACCATATGATCCTCTCAATAGACATAGAAAAAGCTTTTGCCAAAATTTAACACTCCTTCATGATAAAAAACACTCATTAGTAGGGATAGAAGTGAACTTCTCAACCTAATAAAGCCATCTATGAAAAACTCACAGCTAACATAATACTTAATGGTGAAAGACTGAACACTTTCCCCTAAAATCAGAAACAAGGAAAGAATATTCATTCTCATCACTTCATTCAAAATTATGGGCAAGTAAAGGCCTTCAGGTTAGAAAGGAAAAAGAAAAACTCTAAAGATGACATGATCTTGTAAATAGGCAGTCCTAAGGAATTCATTACATTACAAAAATCCATACATTACAAAAATTACTAGAGCAAGTTCAGGAAAATTGTAGGACATAAGATATAAAAATTAATTGTATTTCTATTTATTTACAATGAACAACCTGAAATGAAATTAAGAAAACTATTTATGATCAAAAGAATAAAATACTTGGGAATACTTTTAACAAAAGAAGTGCAAAACTTATACTCTGAAAACTACAAACATTGTTGAAAGAATGAAAGAAGATCTAAATAAATGGAAAGACATCCCATGTTCATGGATTGGAGACAGCTGTACTCATCACTATATCACCAATACACTCCCATATTCATGGATTTAAAGACTTAAAATTGTTAAGATGGCAATACTTCCCAAATTGATTTACAGATTTAACATAAACTTTCTCAAAACTTTGTAGAAATTGACATGTTGATCGTAAAATCCATATGGAAAATAAAGGGACCTAGAATAGCTAAAATAGTTTTAAAAAGAAAGAATAAAATTGGAAAACTTATACTTCCTGATTTCAGAATTTACTAAAGCTACAGTAATCTAGAAAGTGTGGCACTAATATATAGATTAGTGGAATAGAATTGAGAATCCAGAAATCCTCACATTTGCAGTTAGTAGATTTTTCAACAAAGGTGACAGCGAGGAAAGAACAGTCTTTCAACTAATGGTGCTGAGACACCTGGATAGCTACATGCAAAAATATGAAGTCAGACCCATACCTCACAACATATACCAAAATTAACTCAAAATGGATCAAATAATAAAGGTAAGAGCTAAAACTAGAAAAGTCTTAAAAGAAAACATTAGGGTAAATTTTTGTGACATTGTTTTTGGCAATAGTTTCTTAGATATGACACTAAAAGCACAAGCAACTAAATAAAATAGATAAATTAGAATTTCTAGGGTACAGTAGAGTATGAAAATGTTTTGCAGTTGATTACGGTCATGGTTACACAACTCTGAATATACTAAAAACCATTGAATTTTACACTTCAAGTTGGTTAATTTCATGGTATGTGAATTACATCTCAAAAGAATAAACCCAAAAGGGCAAAACCCCACACAAACGTTTAATAGGTACACTTCACAACATAAGATACAGAAATGTCTAATAAGTCATAGAAAGATGCTAAACAATATTGTCATTTAGGAAGATGACAACTTAAGATCATGAAATACTATGACATGCCAAACAGTACAACAAAATTATGATGACTGAGAGTACCAAGTGCTACCTTTTACAGATTCCCACTAGCCTCTCATATCTCTGCCGTTGATTATAGCACTTACCTCATAATGACACTCCAGGTGTCATAGCTTCTGTCGTTATATTCCTTTGGCAGCCTCGGTATCTACTTTCCACTGCTACAGCCTGGACCCTCAGATAGAGTTTGCTGTTCACCTTGTAAAGTATATAACATATAACCACCCAAAAAATTGAAACAACTTATTGAATGTCAAATCCTTACCTTGGGCTGTCAGGTCAATCTGTTCCAAAAGTAGCAATTAGATTACTTGATGTTTTAGGTTTGTCTCCTAAAATTTGTAGTTGCTTTTCTCAATCTCCCAGTAAATGGAAAATAAAACAATTTCTATGTCCCAAGCAACAATAATTTATAAGTGGTTATTATACCTGTTTTATAGATAACTGAAGCTCAGAGAGGCTTAATTTGCTCAGGGCAGGACAGCAGTGGAGCCATTGTGTAGTGCAGGTCTATCAACTACAAAACCCTGGTTCTTTTGACTGTGTCATGGTGCATCTGAGACAGGAGTACATTAACATTTTTTTTTTTAATAATGGACTGGCCTTTCGAGTTTCAGCATGATTTTTCCAGAGACCGTATTTAACGTGTATTCCAATATAAAGAATTTGTGTTCAATTATTAATTAGTACAGTAAGCATCTAGTGAGTGCTTACTGCATGTAGGTACTATGTTGGGTATATGCTGAATATATTGATCTTAACTTTAGCAGAGAAAGCAAGTATACAAATAAAAATTTGCAGTACAGTGAGAAAATTGCAGTGATAGAAGTCTTTAATGAGTATGGTGGTAACATATGAGGAAGTGATCAATTCTGCTGGAGGAGCCATGGAAGATGAAATGATCGAATTTAAGGCTGTGCAGGTGTGTCTGTTGATATATGGGTGCCTATTTCTGTGTCGTGACTGTCTATGGAAACCGTACCTGCATAAACACCAGTATTGGGTTTAAGTAAATAACTACTTTAAAGTAGAAAAAAATTCATTGTTAGTTTGCAGGAATACTGTGTTCCTTTACACCTTTTTAGTTATTAGCTTTGTGTTCACATATAATTAAAACTCCTTGGCAAAATACAAAAACCTTAAAAGGGAAATGCTTTTTTGCTGACATGTGGTTTGTAAAATATTTTGCGAAACAACTAGCTATTAGAATTCTTTAATTCTGTTGTATCTGCTTTTTGGAATTGAAAGATAAATGGGCAAGATAAAACAAAAATTGGGAAGTTCATGAAGAATTTGCTCTATTCTTTTATCAAATTGTGGTATACTTACTTAACGAGTGAATATACTTGAGATATATGCTTTTCAGATTTTTCACGAGAAAAGCTTTAAACTGTGTTTATGATTATTTTCTAGAGATAAATTGTTTCTCACACATCAATATTGTGTGTTAATGTAGCAGTGGTTAGTTTCTGGTGAAATTTAAAATTTTAAAATTTTTTTGCAACATTTATTTAGCAAAATGTTTATTATTCCATAGGATTTTGAGCAGTTTCTAATATTACTTTGTATAGTTGTTTCCTAAAATAATGAATAATGAAATAAGTTTTCAGTTTATCAATAAATGTCTTATTGAAGTCAATTATTAACATAATAGGCTGGTTTTTTTTTAATTTACCAGCTCCCTTATTTATTTCTTAATGTAGCCTTTTTTTTCCTATATCATTATTCCTGTTGGATAAATAGGACAAATTGAAAGGGAAAGGAGAATCTTCTAGTTTCAGAATCTTTGATTTGGCCAAGTTGTACTACTGTTACTTTGTGGCTAACTGGAGCAGTAAGAAGGCTACCTGCTGCCTAATATAATTTTTTGTAAGTACACACAGACAGTTCTGGAAAATAGGGAATCTACTTGTAGGTCTTAAAAATAGTGACTGGAAACTATTACAAATGAAAGGCTGGGACTTCTGTGCTTTTTGTTTTGGTTTCCCAGTGGCTGATATTTTGGTATTCCAAAGTAAATTAAGTATCCATCATCGTATGGTGATGGCAAAGGTTTCTGAGATGCTATATTTGGGAAAATGTATTTAAATATATGTGGGTTTTATGTAATAGTTTTAACAGCAGTACTCTTTGCAAATTCATTTGATTGTGGTTTAAGGTAGACATTGTCTTACAAAATTAATATGCAAATCTAGTACTGTATCTATTTGAAACTGTATACTCTATGTTAAGAATTGTACAAAAAGCGATATATTAGAATCAGTGCCTTATGGTTAATAAAGGAAATACTGTCTTTCATTTATGAATACAAGTCAAAGAAAGAAAAAATATATTTCATTTTTAGATTATATAAATGGTGGAGAACTTTTTACTCATCTTTCTCAAAGAGAGCGTTTCACGGAGCACGAGGTGCAGATCTACATTGGAGAGATTGTGCTTGCCCTTGAACATCTCCACAAGGTAAGACACTTCATCTTTGCGGTTTCTTTTTTTGAAAAATCTAGTAACTGAGGTAATGATGGAGCTAAAAGAGCTAATGTTTTTATATGTCATTGTCTTGGTGGAGCCTGGGAAAGCACACTTTAGAACGTCGCCAATTTTCTCAATTTTATAGTTCCCTTTTTAAAAGTCTACTTTCCTATTATAGTTGCTGTGATGCAGATTAAAAAGATAGAATCTGAGCAATTTTTGGCTTTCTTCATGAAAAATCCAAATGTTTATTTATTACAAAGTATCATTAGAATAAAAGCTTCTGATTCTTAAAATAACCTATAAAATGAAACCATAAATTATAATATTTATTTTCTTAATTGTAACTTACTCTATTGCAAACTCTGCCTGTACGTTTTCAGGTATTTCCTGATTAGGTTGGTGAATGAGAGTTATTTCCCACTCTTCCACTCTGGCTTGCTTTTCCATTTGTTTTGTCCCTGACACCCTCTCTTGTCCCCACCCCATCCCTCCTCCTCCTCCATTATTTCCATGTAGCATGGTACTACGCTGGTACCATTATAAAAACTTTAAATGGAATTCATGTTCATGACTCTGTCTGAACTCTACAAAAATCAGTTTAAACTTTTTTAATATTATCGGTCCAAGAAATTTTGACTTTTTTTTCATAATGAGAAAATATTATTGTGGAAGCAAAGTCATTATGTAGATTGGGCTTATGTGTTTTTCCGTAGAGATAGAAAATACTCAAATAATTTTTACCGAAGGTGTGTGAGACCCTAAGGAGACCAATGTTAGAGTCACTAAATTAGGACAATTCAGGTGCATCATGAAGCTACTCTTCTTTGTTATGTCATACGCAGGTCCTATACTAGCTTAAGCTAAATAGAGATTAAAATGCTGATTAAAGAGCATAGGAAAAAAAAGGGAGAGAATTGAAGGGAAAAGTAAGGAAGAAGGGTGAAATTTCTAAAGGGGCAGGGAGATTAGGGTAGCAAGATGGAGATAATAAATGAGAGAGGCTGTGAGAAAAGATGGTGGGAAGATATAAGGGAAAACGGCAGTGATCAAGAAAAGCGTAGATCTAGCCCAGAACAGAAACAACACTGGGTCGGGGGGTCGAGGGAGATGGTTCGGAATAGGAATCTTAAGAAGAGTAAATGAAAAATGTCTGAGGACGAGGAGAGAAAGTGAGAAGGCAGTGGGGGTCCAGGCTGCAATACAGTGGAGAGAAAGGGAAGAGAGGAGCAACAAAGCAGGGAGCGGAACTGAGGTCGTGAGACAGATGTGTGTTCTTCTTCTGACAAAATTTTCACTAGGTGACAAGCTTTATGCCTGTGGTTATTTTTGTAGGATATAAAATAGTTAAAACATCTTTATAAAAGAAACAAATTGGACCCAGGAATAGGCTGCAAAGACCTTTGAAATTTATGATTAAGAGTATTAGATGTAATTCTTTACAATATAAAAACAATGGTAGAAATCATCATAAATGTGGGTAAAAACAAA